ATATATATATATATATATATATATACAGTATATATATATATATATATATATACTGTATATATATATATATATATATATATATATACAGTATATATATATATATATATATATATATATATATATATATATATATGACAGCTATAATCTGGGTATCTAAATCTTATCCTAATATGTATTTAGTGATTTGACCCTAAATAATGTTAAAGATAAGTCTAAGAGATTTTTTTCCTAGATTTGCCATCCACCAAGATCTGATGTTGAATGAATGGAAACCAATACACCAATAAGATAATTGTATTTTTTATGCTTTATTGATGCCGTCGGAGACACCTGAGAGCCTTGCCTGAAGTCAAGTCCAGATATTTTCATCTGCTATACAGTGGTCAGGGGATTCACTATAGAGATTCAATCTACATTAGTTATAATATTTGTCATATTGTGATGGTTTTGTATTATATAAAACAAAGTGTTAGCTGAGCCTTATATCAGTGTTACAGTTTAATCTTATTGGGGATTTTGTGCAGGTTGATGGTTATAACTCTTCAATTCATTACCCGCACTTTCTAGCTGTCCTTTATATAGTCTCAGTCTCCTCTGTTCAAAATCATATTCATTTTGCCTTTGAGTGTCAGCATTCGAGTGTTGCCTTTGTTCAAGAGATTGTTTTTTCCTTGCTTTCCTCCTCCAGCCTTACTTTGTTGATGGGGAAAAAGGTCCAGGTTCATTTGTATAGTTTTGTATAGTTGTTACTTACAAAAAAAAGCAGTATAGAAAAGAAAGTCTAAACAACTCTCAGATTCAAACGGGGAGACAACTTCAACTGTAATATCCTTTTTACCAAATACATGGGATATATTCCCAAAAAATAAACCTAGAATGAGAATGAGAAGAATGTAACATTTTTCCATTGTTTTCTTTTCTTTTCCTTTTTTTCATTTTTGCCACACATGAATATGATCATGTGGTTAAAAATATAACTTTTACAGCCCTAGACATATTTTCAAAGGGCTGACTTGAAAGCCCTGAGTTCATTGACATCTCACAAAATGCGTTTCTGAGAGGTGTGGCTCTGTTAGAGAAGCAAATAAAAAAAAAGTTATGGAAAATTACATTAAGCTGTGAGTAAACAGGTTTAATTTAACTTCCCTGTGAGGTGAGATGGAAACATGCAGATTGCGTCACAGGAAAGGTTTAGAAAATACCACACAGATAAAAATCTAACTATACAGGTTACCTTAGGACTGTAATCAGATTTTAGTAACAACTCAGCGTGTCAGACAAAATGTCTCTTGGGGCAAAACAATGCTTGTTTTTGATTGCAAGAGCATGGAAGAAGTATGAAGATATGCATCTAATTTTACTGTTGAATATTTGTCCCAATGTGAACTTGGTGTGCATCCGCTTGCATGTTTACTTGTTGTACATTTCCATTAGAGGAGAATATCATAGGGAGCATTCCTTTTATTTTTTAACAGTTGTGCATAGTTTTCACAACAGCCTCGTAGGACTTAATAATATGCAGCTTCAAGAGAAATAAAATGAGTTGGAAGAAAGAATAATTTAATTACTAGGCTATATAAGACTGAAGTGGTTGTTATCCAGGGATGAAAAATGCTTAAATGTATAGTGGAGCGTGTTCTTTTTCAGGGTGGCTTATCAAAATAAGTAGTGTTCCTAATTGTCAGTCATTCTGGTGATATTTTTTACATAAGTTCCGTCCTACGTGCTCGTCCCCATTTTCACAGTACACATACTTACACATAGTGGAAAAATCACAAATCTTCTTTTGGAAACTAAGCTTGTATGCAAACAGTGACTTTTAAACAGGCGTTTGATAGGCATTCCCTCTCGGGAGCAAGAACAGGGTTGCACATGTGCATTTTTTTTTTTAAGCGGAGAGGGCGAGTCTTTTCAAAAATTTGCGAAAATCCTCCACTATGCCTTTAAATTAGTTCATATACGGAAAAAAAAGCATAATTGTTACTATTCACCTTATCTGACTGGCTTTACAAATGAGCAGATGGTTAAGCAGAACTGGATGCATGATTTTGCTTGAAGTTACAATACATAAGTGATGAGTGCTGAATGCTGAATGAGTGCTGAAAAGGATTTGTTTCAATGGCAACTTGAATTTTTTTCTATTTTATAAAAACTCTATAAGATACTCTTTAGAAAAGAATACATGATATCAATTATTATTTGTAAATAAAACCTAATATGTTTTTACTGGTAAAATCACAGCAATTTTTCTTAAAATGTCATACTACCAGAAATGAGTGAGAAAAGTAAACAAAATTGTATGAAGGACCTGTAAAGAACAAGCACCACCATGGAAACAGCTGACCTACAACATGCTGTTAAATGGCAATAGGGCGTCATGGCTGCTTATCATATCAAACCGACTGCTGGGTTTTGCCAAAGGCAGTTTGTCCCAGCATTTTATTCAAGTATGCAGAATGGAGGTTGGTTCAAAGAAACTTATTATGAGGACAAATTGGACTGCGGCTTTGGGGAAAAAGAAAGCGTTTAGAATCCAGCCGTTAAGTGAGCAATTCTTATTATGTGGTATGGACTGCTGCTGTTGAAGCGTGTGTGTGCACAGGTTTGATAGGAAGAATGACTCAAGCCGCAGCGTTTCTGAATAAATCTGCATCAGTTAAGAACATTTTCTGAGAAATGAGGTGAAATCGTTCAAACTTTATTCAACACATTCACAATCCAACAACACAAAAGCTTTGGGGCCCCATGTTCTGATTGTCTCCTGTTTTTATTGTTTTGTTTTTTTCTCTAAAACCCTTCATTTATTCACACTTTTGGACCAAACCAAAGAAAAAAAAAAGACCAGAAACTTCCCAGTACAGATAAATGACTTAATTACACATGAATTCTTAAAACAGAAAATGGTGAAAAACAGTGTTCAGATTAAAGTAAGAACAGATGGGGGTGGTCAGCAATTTAAGACACGTTCTAAAACTTTTTAGTTCTAAACTTTCATCTCCCTTCAGTTTTCTTTCCTTATTCCCCAGAACACAAAAATATTCTGGTACATGAAAAAAAAAACTTTTATGGGAAATGGAATAGCTGATGTGAACAGGAGGTTTGTGTGTAACATTTTTCAAAGTACCTTTCACATTTTTAAATAACGGGGCACTTAAGACATGACAGACCATTACTGTAATGTTCCCACAAAGAAGCAGGGAAGCAAATGCCTTATTTAACAAAAAAAAAAAAAAAACACTTACAGCAAATTACTGTCTAGAAGACATATTTCATAAAGGAAAGAAAAAAGAAAACAGAATCCCAGTTTGACAAAAACATGAGAATAAATACTTCAAGACATCCTATTTGAACAGACTTAGTTAATTAAACTTCATAACCATAACCTTCACTTGAGAGATGGTAGAAAATTAGCAGTATACACTTCATACTCATAATGAAAGTACTCAAACTTCACCTTTTCATAGAAAAACCTGAAGAACCCATTACCTTACAGTTACCTTTATGATGCATTATGAAATATTCCATGAGAAAAATTAAATAAATCTGCTTCAGTATTGTTTTTACAAGCTAAAGTTTTTTTTTTTTTTTTTTGTAGAATGTTATTTTCCCACAACCAGGACATATTAGGTTACATAACCAGCTTTAAAAAAAACTCTAAAAGGATTAAACAAGGCTTAAAAGCTTTGATGAGTCAAACATAATTAGCAATGGAAACACAATTTTTTGACTTTAAAAGGCATGTATCACCGGTTTAACACTATTTTTTTGTTGAAATCTGTTCGGGCTTATAGTATATGTTTATTTTAATTTCAATGTCTCAAACTGAGATATTAATGTTTTTTTTTTTATATGGAAAAAAGGCAAGCTCAGGACAACTGCATTACTGTACATTTTGGGACATGAAAGCATTTATAATGCATGGGAAACCAAAGAAGAAAGTAATTCTTAGCTCAAATTCATTGTTAGAGATGGTCAGTAGATTGGAGACCTTATTAACCAGCATCCCAATTGGCGATTTAGAAGCATTTTTTAATGAGGCATATCTACCCTTAATTTGTTACCATGGCAAATAACTATAAATTGTGTGATAAAATCTAGCATTCAAACTGTCGACATTCTGGCAAAACGGGCATTATATCTACTCAAGTTCTGAACAACATTGTTATTGTGATGTATCAGCTCTTGCTTTTTTTTTTTTTTTTTTTTACTGTGACTGGATTAGTCTACTTTACACTATTGAGCCCTGCAGTGTTTTTGAATGGATTAACCCAGAAGTCTTAACTACATTCATGGGTTTGTGTGTTTTTCCCATGAGTAATCGAGTAATCACAATGAAGACATTCTTGTAATTCTATGCACACCAACTGTCTCATTAGCCACACTCCGGTGGGTCTACAGTACCTGTTCATGTAACAGCCATAACAGCCTATTGTTTGGCCCTTAAAAATTTTGAGTTTGCATCAACCACACCGTTGGTTGCAAAGGGTGTCAAAGTACTGATTTACAATCTATCATTCATTTGGCTCAGAATAGAGGCTTCTTAATAGTTTGGAGGTAAACAAGATAGAAAATGGCCAGAAAGAAAAAGAAAAACAAAACATGTTCCATCTTAGTAACTTTTTAGAACAATTAATTGTTTTATGGCTCTATGAGGATATTTGCCCTTTAAAGCATAAACATGTATTACTATACATTGTTTTTATATATGTAGTGTTGAATCGTCTTCATAAGACTTTTTAATGTTACAAGTACACCTAATCTATTGTGTGTTATTTGTGTAGCTTTACAGAATCGTCATTTATTGTACTTCTATACACTGCAAAAAACTGAAATCTTAATAAGTAACTTTTTCTTAAAATAAGTGAACTTTTTCTTGAGTTGAGTAGGCAAGTGAGACACTTTGCGAATGGAACCAGACAATTTACATTTGAGACTAAGAAACAACAATTACATTGTCTTATTTCAGGTGCATATTATCTAATTATCTTAATTTAAGCATAAAATTTCTAATTTTATTGCCAACTCACATTATCTACCCAATCAAATTAAGGGGAAATACATTTAATTTAAGAAACCTTTACTTGTTTCTAGATCATTTTTGCAGTGATGGATAGTTGCAGTTTTCAAAACATGTTTTAGCTGCAGCAAATCACCATTAAATCTCAGCTGCTTAAAAAAATAAGCTTATTTAAGATTTGATGCATTTGTTAAAATGAAGGGGAGTGTTATACACCGCCAAAAACATAACATTGCTGTTCGAATTGAAAATGATCTTTAACACAAACACAAAAACACCAATTTCCTGTGCATTCAGAGACTCTTAAGTTCTCCTTCTCTATTCAAGCTCCACCAGACTTTAAATATTCGCACCCTCTCTAAAACATAAGTCATAATGCTTGATTCATATTCACGTAACATGATTTGTGTGCTTTTATGTTTGTATGTAAACTGGACATAAACAAACAAAAAAACACTTAAAAACGCAGCACATCCGAGCTTCAGAGGGGATTTTTGTCGCTGTTTCCTGTATCAAATGTGTAAAGAAATAATTTCATATTGTTTCCATGTCTTATTCCATCTGCTCTGTCCGAGAAAGTTTTGTTATTAGACATATGAAAATTAGATCATAATTCAACCTTTTTTTCCCTGCAAATAAAAGGTCAAAATACAGAACAGCACTGGTAATAATAAATCAAGCGTAACAAATAAGAGTTTGCAGATTTATGACATTTTTTTTTCCCATGTTTCTTATAGTATAGAGTATGTATTTTAGAGTGGCAACTCCTTGTTTTGCAGCTGCACTGTATTTCTTCATGTCTAAAATTCTGACCCCTTTCTATACCTTTCTTAAATTACAGTAAAGCCCAAAAATATTCTCCTCAGCAATTTTTATATTAGTGAAAGAAAATAAACGATTTAGAGCTAATCAGCCAGACCCCCATATCAAAATCTGAGGGAGATTCTTAAAGATAGCTCAAGATAATGGTAATGGCGAAGAGGTTTTCCTACCTCAGACACTTTTACGGAAGAAAAAATCCCCACAGCACCAGTAGAAACATATAAAATGTCAGTGAAGATGTGAAGGCTTTGGTAATTGTAAAGCTAAAAAGGCTTCCATGTCTATTATTGAGAAAGCTATCAATTATTTTCAACTAACCTTTTTAACAAGGTAAACATATTTTTAACATTATTTTAGTATCTTCTAATATATCCCATTCTCATTTCTCCTCAGAAACTTAATGGAAATACGTTGAAGGCAAAATCTTCCAGGAGTTTGAATAATTTTAGGCTTAACTGTAGTTTCCCTCTGCAACTTCAAAGCTTACAGTATTCAGAAAGAAAACATCCATAGTCACATTTAACACCATCCAAATGGCTCAAAGCTGGTTTTGTGGTATTACACATTACTGTAATATTCTTCACAATCATGTTTGCCATAGTGACAAAAACACACACACACACACCCCTCCACACCCACATAATAACACAGAATAACAGCCATGCTGTTGCTGCTCTTTCAACATAGGGCACAGAGTCTTTTACTAGCTCACATCTGCAACTCTTACAGTACATAATCCAAAAAGAAAAAACTCATAACTTAGCTTTAAAGTTACATATTTGTTCACCTTAATACAGTGTTAATTAAATTACAGCTTAAATAAGAGTAGAGGACAGTTAAAGTGGATAAGTGATGACAGTTTGTGACTGCAGCAGGTCGCACTCTCTAAATGTACACACCCTTAATTTCAGGTTCAGTTCAAAAAGAGCAGCTTTTCATTGGTGGAATGTGTCCCAAATGAAAACATACAGGTATGTAACCTTAGAGCATTTGCCATAGGAGGTACCATGAGAAAAGATGATTAAATATTCAAGCACTGTGACCCGCAGTCTTCAAGTCTTTGTCTTGCATCATTGTCATATAGATATCAGATAGGGCAAAGAAGTTCCTCGATGATTATGGACTCTGGACCTTTAATATCAAAATTCCATGAATCTTATTGCAATGTTTAAATGTTAAGTCTCCACTGCAAAACCTTTGTTTTTGACAGGTTATGTTAAGACAGTGCAAGACGAGACCGCCAGTGGCAATCAGGGCAAAGGGAGATCTCGGCAGAGGGGGATCGTATTGTAGGGGCTTGTAGATATATCAGCTATGAATTCCACAGAGGTCCATGGCTGAATATACAGCTTTTATACTATATATGGCTCAATCTTTGCCTGCCGTGGTCGTAATAGGTGGCCAAAATTTAGTATCCAGATGTTTCCAGACTTTCCCTCCATAAAGCATGAAACTGCACCCACCGTTGTCCTTCTCTCTCTCGTCTGCTTTGGGTTTTAGACTTTGAAAAGAAGAAAAGTTAGGGAGGAGATCTCAGTGTGGGTCTTTGTACAGTTGACAGCCGATCCACTATGTCTTTGTGTGTCTTTAAGTGGCATATATGCTAATTAGAGAGCAAGGAAACCAGAGCTGAAGAAAGGGAAAACAAAGGGAAGTGATTCGATATCCGTCCAGTGATCAACACAAAGCACATTCTGTGCCTTACAACATCGCTGATATCACTACCTCTTCATTCGTCTCAGGACTCTAGCTCCAGGTTTGCCCTGTTGTTTTTCTACCACTTTAACGGTTCTACATACCAAATCAGGAGAGGCACATGGTTGAAATTGGATAACATTTTCCTTACCAGATACAAATTAGGGAAAGCAAAGTCCAAAGTGTTTGATTAACAAAGCATGGCTGTTTTGTTTTTTGTTTTAGTGGGATTAGTAGAAATGTGCAGTCAACTGGGCACTAATAAGATATTCCCATTTTGTTAGAGGATTAGGGTTCTAACTTTGTAGTTCCTTCACTTTGCTTTGGGGTAGATTTGGACTCTGTTCCTGAGGCAGGGCTGTGAACAAACGGAAGAGGTGGTTGGCTGCGATGGACCTGAGAATGCAGAGGCAAGGCTGTGGCGATGTGCTGTCGGGGGACGTGTGACTTCAGATAACCTCGGCGGTGTCGCAGGGACTGAGAATGAAGAAGTATGCGTGTGTAAGAGATCTCTGGCATGATGTATTTGAGGCAACGATCCTGTGCCTCTCGGCTTATATTCACTGGGAGGTCATAGCCGACAATGTCGACTTTGTCACTGGGCTGCCAGGGACGAAGATCCTTGTTTTTGATCTCTGCAGCTGAGCGTGGAAGTGGCATTTTCCCACCAAAACAAGTCCCCATAAGCCTTTCTTGGGCCTGCCGAAGCAGTTGCACCTCCTTCGCAACACAGTCTAGACCCAAATCTGATAGTTTGACCCAAAGTGAGGCATTAAAGTATTCATAAAGGTACGCATCTATGGAATTCCAGGCTTGGATCTTTTCAGGAAGACCTGGTGACAGCTTTTTCTTGGAACCTTCTGTACGCATATTTAGCTTGACATACAGGATGTCCTCCATATCCCATGAAAGTAGATGGTGGAGAAGGATAAGCGATTCATCAAAGTACTCCGAAATCATTACTAGGGAGAACACTTTTTCAACTTCCGCAGCAAATTCGTGTGCATAAGCAATGTCTTTTGCTGGGCGATCTTTGTCTCCACCTAAGTCAAAGGTCAGGGTGTTACGTGCATACATGGAGTCTATCTCTTCTGGCCTGTAGTAGCGTAAAGGTTCCACCAAGAACTCTTCCAGAGAACCATTGGGGACTCTCTTGAAGCTCATACAGTGTCGACTGTAGTATGTAAATAAGGACTCAAACATTGAGGCTGGCTCTCTCAGGATTGTAATATAAATTGTATCATGCGGCATCAGCCGTTGCAATGCTGTTTTATTAAAACGCATGTGGTTGGTAATCAAGTTTGGTCGCAGCGTGTGCAGATGGACGAAGTGAGAGGAGAAAGAACGTGGGTAGCAGAACTGATGACCACATGCTTGTACTGGCAATGCCACTGTCAAGTTGTTGCGCTCTGCAAAGCGAAACAGGATGTTCTGCATGGTGGTGCTGGCTGTTTTGTGTGTCTTAAGGAAGACGATGTTTGAGTGTTTAGGCTTTGCGCCCTGGGCCTGGTGGGAGCAGCCAAAGTGAAATACCTCATTGTTCCTAAAGAAAAAAAGAAAGCAATACATTTTTTTTTGCTGGATACAAAACTGCAAAACTTGCCCTAAAATAAAATCATGACATTGGTAATATTACGCAATGAAAACAAGAAAGACAAAGGGACAATGGTTTAAATGAGGGTGTTTACACCGGTAGCATGGGTAAATCATCTTTTTTATGTATTGTGGATTTAATTCAATCCTCACCAGGTGAAGTGGCCCCCATGGTGCAGCAGAACACTGACAGTACAGATGACAATGAGGACCAGAAATATCTTCTTCTGCCACTTCATTTGGACTGTGGAAGAAAAAAGGGACAATCAGACCATGTATAACAAGAAACAACAAAGCAAGTGCAGGAGAGAGGTGAAAATGAGAAGTAGAGGTGATAATGAGGCAAAACATATTAAGAATGAGCTGAAAAGGGTGAGGCTTTAAATGAAAAAAACAGGACTAAACAGGAAAAAGGAAATGGGAAGAGGGAAACCACATAGGAGAGTCAGATATCATTTATCAGGAAAGTATGAGATTTGACTAGGGTGTTGCTAAGTTTTACTGTTCATCAACACATTTATGTTATCTGACCTCTTTTTAGTTAAATTATAGAAAGACAGCTCCATAAATAAGGTACAAAATCCCCAAAATCAAGAGCATGGCCATAGAAAGTTTACAAACGACTTCAATCCTAGAACATCAGTGGAATCTGAGAAATCTCCAACCTGCTACCTTTAGCCTTTACATGCAAAACAATCATCGATGTCTCTCATTACACTCATTACACTCATGCTACCGCCCCATCATCAGCTGCTAAAAACAGACTAAAAACATTACCTCACTCCTTGTGTTTCCCAATCGGAAACATACATTTTACCCAAAATATATATATTACTGCCATTCTCTAATTAAAATATAATTATTACAAATCGGAAATAGTTTTCGCAACAATAACATCAATTCATTGGTTTTTATTTTAGGATTTTATTTGTGTCGCTTCTATATTTGTCCATGATTCAGGGATATAATGCAAATTTTTCTTTCTGTGTTCCTGATTTTACCAAAATATTAAAAGGTAGAGGTAATTATCTCATAATGGTGTGGCTGGAAGGTTGTAAATCAAGAGAAAAGAGTAGGATTTTAAACTATCTACATTAAAAAGCAGATTTTTAAAAACTTTTTAATGAGTCTTGTGGTGGGTTGAGCATCTCATGTTATCACAATAGGGAAGCATGCCATAACTCAAGGATTAAAAAAAATATATATATATTTTAATCTAAACATTAGAAAATATCCTCCGTTGATATGAAAATGACTCTGTATTTTTTGATTAATTTATAAATCATATTTTTTTCTTTGCAATGGTAACACTTAAATCTGTTTGAATGTATTTTTTGGAGGTAAAAAGACAAATGTTTCCCTTTTTTTTAATCCAGGCGTGTCCAGTCTCCTTTCATCGGCTGTTATCGCCCCATCTTTCAATATTCCTGTCTGTGTCCAGCTTTCTACTGCAACTGATAAGAACTCAGCATTATTTATTACTTTTGGAGTTTTTTCAGTATAACTTATCAGGGTTGTAACCCTCCTCTGAGACATAACTGTCAGTGCAAGAACCATATGGTATGAGGACTCTTCTTTGAATGGTGGTTAGAGGTGAGGCTCAAGACAGATAAGAGAGGTGGAACAACCTGGTAGCACAAATATTCCTAAATAACCGCATACAGGAGATTTCTCAACATAGTCACCGAATAACTTCTGAATGTAGAAGATTTTATTATTAAGTCAAGGCCAAGCCTCAAGATCCAGCAACTGAAAAATAAATGTTCTTAATAAATGCATGCGATCTCCCTGTGAGGGTGCAATGGTGAAGGTTATGAATTGAAATCATGTACTGTTTTTATCTACGTAGGTTTATTACATAAATATTTAACAGCTATTATGATCAATACCAACAAATACTTAAAGAAATGTTATGAAATCTTATTTTTTTTATTCAATTCTATGGTACATTTATTAAATAAATGAAGGGGTTAGCAAGCTTCTGTTGCAAGGTGTCCTTGTAGTGAGGACATGTCACTTGTTCTCGGTGTTCATTTGTCCTCACATTTACTATTCAGAGCAGATGGAACTTCTTAATGAGATTACAGAAAATTCTTCTTTTTCCAAGAACCAGAAGTGAAAACTTTAGTTAAGATTAAAAGTTGATTATGGAATTTCATGCAATTTTTGAATCTAATATGTAAAAAAAAGGGAAATGTATCTGATTTCATATCAGACTGTGAGAATTCGTTTTCTATCCATTATGCAAATAAGAGATGTAAAGTGTATATTGAGAATTAAAGCCAATGAAAATGTTCCTTTTAAAAACCGATTTTAAACAAACAAACAAAAATTGCATTGATGTAGCCCTTTGCTATAATACAGGACACTGTAATTATGTTTCTGATCTAATACATTGAGAAACTCAAATAATAACTATATTCATTTCAAAATGATTGGATATTTAACAATAAAGTTAGCAAAGCTGCCTGAACATGATTAAGCTCTTTGTTTGTATGGGAACTTTTATGGGTGTTCTTGTTTCCAGCCAATTTCTTAAAACATGAATACATGTTTTGTATGGTTTGTAATCCTATGATAAACTAGACATCAGTTCATAGCGTAATCCAACTTCTTAAACTGGATTAAATGGCTATAAAGATGTGAATCACTTCTATTTATCTTTGTCCCTCAGCTTCTCAGTAGAAAAAAAACAGCCTCTATCAGTGCGAAAAGCCCAGAAATGAATTGCAAAACACTTGGTAATGACTCTGTGCTACAGCTGTTCACATTCAGCAGCAAAATTAGGCTGCATGAAAGAAAGGCAGAGGCTGTTTCCTGTCCTCAGAGGAGCTGGTTCATAACTCTGTGTGTACATGCCTCCATGGTGGTAGACTGCCCGTCAGAGTTAATAAGAAAAGGGATTCAAGTGGCTTTCAGCGGACAAGCCTTCTCCTCTTAATCAACCTCATTTGCTGCCATCTTGAGCTCCCTTCACCTCACCACTGTCTTCCTCCTGCTCTTGAACTCAAGGCTCTTTAATTAGAAAGGCTCTGACTAGGTTGCACTAACAAACAGCAATAAAGCAAAGAAAAGAAGAAACGAGCGCTCAATTGGTAGGCAAGTGGTTTAAAGGAGAGCAACAAATAGCGCTGTGTTGCTCTCTTATTGATTAGATGATTAAAGAAGGAGGTATCTAAAACTGGCACAGTTAAAGATTGAGCTGATTCCTGAAAGAATGCCGAACTCCCTGTTGTTTATTCACTTTTAATGAATACATAAAACTGAGCAGAGTTAGAACATAATCTAAACGCAATGGAATATACGTCTAAAAACATTAATATCAAACAATTTCAATAGGAAATTGTTTTTTTTCTAATAACATGGCATATGTACTGTAAGATGTAATTCAAATAAAAACATCTTGGGAAAAAAAGGACAAATCTGTAGTCATGTGAGGCCATCAAGAAAGCACAATGCAAGAAACTCAACTTTATTTATAAAGCACTTTAAAAGAAGTGCCATACATACCAAGTACAGTTAAAATTGTATAAAAACCACACAGAATTTTAAATCAATAAAACAAACAGAATAAAATGAATTTATTAAAACAAATAAAACCATAAAAAAACATTAAAACAAACCAAAAGCGCAAAAAAGAAAGTCTCATAAAGGGGGGATATATTCACATTTTTATCTTTGTCGTATCTGTTCTATCAATCATTAATTCGAATTAATTCAGTGTGTTAATTATTCTAATGATCATTATTATGTCTGAGACATCCAGCTTTTTTAATCATGTGAACGAACATAATGTATGTTGGTGCTTTTTAATGAGTTTAGTAATAAATAAATAAAGCTTAGGGGTGCAATTAATGCAGGTTTTAGTGGTATTGTCATTGAAATTCAGACAAAAAATTAAAGCCTAATGCTCTTCTGAATGTAGCCGTTTTAAATAAAGTCCTCTGAGCTGCAGATTAAAGAGCCCCCCTGAAAACAAGCGCTTCCCCTCTGTGTTTCCTTGATATTCAAGCAAAGCCTAAATTGTCTAAATGGATGTTGTCATTCAGGGACTCATATGCTAATGTGCGTCATGTGAAGCTTTGCTTTTGGCACTCGAGCAGCTCTGTTGCTACTTGTTGATACGACATATTGGATTAGAGTTAATGGGTGAGCGCATGTTTGTGTCTTTACCTGCCGGTTAGCCTTTTTCATTGTTTTCCTTGATTCTTCTGCTTCATAGTCTAATATAAACACCTCCACATGTGCTATTTTTTATTGACCATAAACAAGGATGATAATTTGATATCTTTTGTTTGCTTTATGATGAAGAAGTTGTCAGAGACTACTGCTTAGCAATTTTGAAGGCAAACAGTGTTGGGGTTTGGGTTCTTGTCCTATTTTTTTGCAGTCCATCTTCCAGAGGTGATCTGGGGGCTGCTCTGCTGATTGCCTGCACCTGTTTCTCATCAGCTCAAGACTACTTCAATGCTATGGTGTTAACATTAGGTGGTATTCTATTCTGGCTCCTTGCATTGTTTTCCCTGCTTTCTCTGCTCTTACCTGGTTCTCCTTTGCTCCCTTCAGGAAACTAAAGCCTTTAGATTTTGTTCCTGAGCAATCTTCTTACACCATAATTCCCCAGGGACACCTGATCTCTTGGTGCATCTACTGGCTGGCAGCTACGGACTCCTCTCCACAGTTTACTGTGTTCGAACCTCATCCGCTCTCCACTGTTCGCCTGAACCTATGCAACTTCCACTACCTTGGCAATACTTCTATTCTGTGTAAATAAACATTTAAAAGACTACATTGTCTCCTGAGAGTGTTCCGAAATTGGGTTAGATGAAGATCTAAAATCCTGACTAACAATGCGTTACATCTTAAGGTAGTGGCTCCGAAAACTTATCTTGCTTGCCCCTCCTTTGGGTTACAAAGCTGTTTTTATGCCCCTTTTCAACAGTTTAAGTAAAGCCAACAACAGTAACATGCTGAAATAAACTTCAATCTCCTTTAAATCACAAACCTTAACATCTTTTGAGGGTAATCATTGGAAGTTACTAACCGTGTAGGCAAGGGCGTAGGAATATGTTTACAATTGGGGGGGACACATGTCGGAAATCTGAGATTCGTAAATATTCAACAGAAACATATCTTAAGTACGCTACTTAAAAAAAAGGCTATTTAATCTTTTACTTTATTCCTTTATAAATGTGTTTGCAAAAATAATGCATTTAAAATGTACATAATGCATTTGTTCATAAG